CTGGACGGCGGAGGACAGGGGCGTGGCGTGTCGGCAGATGGGCTACACGGGCGGCAAGTACTGGGAGTGGCACGACAGGGCCAACAACGACACGGCGGCCATCCTGTACGAGGCACCGCGCTGCTCGGGCATCGAGGACGACATCACCAAGTGCGCGTGGAGCACTCACTCCATGGGGGGAGGCGTGTGCGGTAGGTGGCGGGCCCTCGCTGGCTCGCTTTCTCTCTCTTCTCTCTCTTCTCTCTCTTCTCTCTCTCTCTTCTTTCTTTCTTTTCCCTCTCTCTTCTTTCTCTCTTTTCCCTCTCTTCTCTCTCTTGTATCTCTCTTGTATCTCTCTTGTATCTCTCTTCTCTCTTCTCTCTTCTCTCTTTCTCTCTTTCTCTCTTTCTCTCTTTCTCTCTTTCTCTCTTTCTCTCTTCTCTCTCTCTCTCTCTCTCTCTCTCTCTCTCTCTCTCTCTCTCTCTCTCTCTCTATATATATATATATATATATATATATATATATATATATATATATATATATATATATATATCAGAATCTACCTATTTAGACTATCTGCTTACTTATTTGCTCAGACATGTAACCATCTACTTAAAATTATTTCTTGTTACCAACTCTCTCCATCCGAATATGAAAATATCTACTCATAACAATATCTACTTACTGAGAACCATATCAACTTTTCTACCCCCCCCCCCCTCGCCCCCAGACATGCACCCTGACATCGGGCTGGACTGCGACGGCGTCCACGCCCTCTGGAAGGGGACGAACTACTGGCGAGGAATCATGTTCCAAGATGCTGAGTACGAGGAGCATCTCTTTCAGGAGAACACACTATACCAGAAAGTACGTTGGAGTGTTTTGTTGTTGTTGTTGTTTTGTTATCATTCTGTTTTTGTTTGAATTATGGCTGGTTCTTGGTGTGATGGTGATGCAGTGGTATGTTGTTTTTTCTGGTATGTCGTGGTTTTGGTGTTTGTTTGGTTGCGCGTATCTGATGAGAAAGTACGGTTGAGTGATTTTTGTCGTTGTTGTTAATCAGGATTGTGGTCATATATGGTTCTCTTGCTGATACAGGGACATATATAATTTCTGGAATACCTTCATGTTGGTGTTTTTTAGGGGGTTGTGTGTTTCCTGATCACGTTTCTAACCAGAAGGCAATATTTCCTCCTCCAGGTCTCGAAGTCTATTCTGAGTTACGTGGACCTGGACTACGCGGGGATGGGGCCGCAGCGCGAGGCCGAGTCCGCTATCATGAGCCGGAAGGTCCCGCCTCGCATCAGTCACGTGACCATCTCCAACAACGCCTTCAATGGCATCAACGTCACGCTGCCTGGTACCTTCTTCCACCTGCAGGAGTCGACCATCTCGGGAAATAATGGTAGGACAGTTCCTAGGTATTTTTGATATGTCTGTGTTATTTTGTGTCTTTTCTTCCTGTTTCCTTTTTTATTTGTCTCATTTATGTATTTTTTAAAATTTGTTTTCACTTAGAAAGCCCAACAAACGAGTAAAAAAATCAACGTTTTCGAACTTAGTCCCCGCTTGCCAAGCAGCACCAACTCAGACCTCCCCTCTCCTCCCCCACCTCGTCTCCCTAGGCTACGGCGTGTACATCAACTCCTCGACGGGCTCGGTGCTGGTGAACGACAACACGAGGGTGTCCGACAACCGCGGCGACGGCATCAAGTACAACTTCCACCGGCGGGAGCCCGACCGCTCGGCCTCCGACACCTTCCAGGACTTCTGCTCGGGGGCGTCCAACCCCAACCAGGCCTACCCGATCGTCACCGTTTACAACCAGGACAGGTTCTCCCTCAACGACCTCACGTGCAGCAGGGTGAGTGCAGCGTCGGTGCTCGGGGCGTGGCGCGCGGCGGGGGATAACATTTCGCGTTCCTGGGTTTGGAAAAGCGTGATTGGATTTTGGGTGCTGGGTCGATGGGAGTTTGGACTGTTTTTAATGCGATGTAGATCATCTGGTTTTGGGATGTGAGATGGATAATGAACAGGACATAAAATAAGTAATAATTTCGTGTTTTCCGGTTTTACATGATATATTTCATGCTTTATTTCAGAAATTTTACATCTCCAAAACCGACTTCGTCTTCTCAGTCCACTTCACGTACATGCAGACGGACGAGGTCGCGGCCGGCACCGTAGAAGTCAGGTAGGTCGATTTTGATTACGAAAGTGTGGTTAGAAATACTGCTCCTTGTTAGATTAGAACAAATTTATGTAAATAACTCGAACCGTAACAACTGCATCAACTTCCCCAGGGACCGTGACGAATGGGGCGACCTGCTCACCAAGTTCGAGATCAGGAACGGCACGTACCCGCCGTCCGTCGTGTCCCGCGGCAACAGGCTCTTCATCAAAGTGTCCGCCAAGAGGATGAGGCAGAGCGTCGTCTTCATGGAGGTTGTTGCTAGTAAATGTATGTGTTTTTTTTTCTTTCTCTTTTTATGACTTTGGATTTTTTATTCGATGAAGAAATATTTGTTTAGCACTGTTTGATTATTATTATTATTATTATTAATGTTTTTGTCTTGTTATTGTGTTCCTCATGTTGTCAACAATTTCACATTTAATTTGCAGATAAAATGTTCGACTTGAGCCTCCAGAACTCGTTCGTGGCCAACAACAGCGGCCATGGCGTCGCCGTGGAGAACATGCGCAGCCTCGTGCACGTGCACCACTCGAACCTGACCCGCAACTTCTTCGGCTCCGGCCTCAACGTCCGTGGGGGCGCCGGCGACGTCAACGTGACGTACTCGACCGTGGACCAGAACGTGGGCGACGGCGTCAACATCACGTACGAGGGCGGCCTGCAGAACGTGTCGTGGAGTCGCATCGCCAACAACGACCTGCGCGGCGTCGCCGTCTGGTTCAACGAGAGTGGCCTGGACACGCAGATCCGCCAGGAGACGGCTGTGGCTTATTCGGCCATCGAGGGCAACGTCGACGTGGGCGTCCGGGTCGGGAACTTCTGCAGGGAGGCCTTCGTCAACATCAGCGGAAATCACTTCTCGGAGGGGCAGGCGGCGGCGCTCGAGGTCGAGTCCTGCTGGCTGAAGGACGGGGAGCTCCGCACCGTCCAGATCGGCCAAAACCTCTTCAACAGGAACCACCGCCTGGCCATCAAGATCTGCCCGGCTGTCAACATGAACCTCACGATCGAGTACAATGAAATGAACGAAAACGACCGCGGAACTCTTATGATCTACAACGAGGACAAGGTGGAGCTGCTGCTGCTGCCCTTCGCGGGCCTGATCAGGAGGAACAACATCAAGTACAACACGGGCTGGTTTGTGCTGCGTCTGGGCCTCACGCTGCGGGGCCTCGACCAGAGCCTCATCGTCCAGAGGAACGCCATCAAAGACAACGTTGTTCAGGAACTCTACAGCAACATTCAGTCCCGCAGCCGCTCGGCCGGCGTGGTGTGCGTGGGCTCGTCGAATGTCGTCCTGTACCGCAACCTGATCGACAACCCCGGCTCGCGCTACGAGATCAGCTCGCACGCACGGGACCAGAGCATGCCCATCAACGCCACCTTCAACTGGCTGGGCAGCAAGCGGGAGACGGACATCTTCGAGCGCATCCTGGACCGGCGCGACCGCTACAACCTGGCCCTCGTGCTGTTCCACCCGTTCCTCCTCAGCAGCACCAACGTGGACACGCCCGTCACGGAGCCGGGCCAAGTGAGCGAGCCGGAATTCTTCGACCCGACGAACGACCGCATCATCGGCGGCGAAGTCAACGGCGAAATCACGCTACACGACGGGGTCTACACCGTCACGCGCGACATCTACGTCCACGACACGGGCACGCTCACCATCGCCTTCGGGTCGACTCTGGAATTCGCGGAGGGCATGGGCATGATGGTCGCCGGCCTCCTGAGGACGGAGGGATCCGGCGCAGAGGCCGTTCGCTTCACGCTCAGGGGCACGACAGCGAAGGAACAAGAGGCCGCCAGGGCACTCCTGATGAAGGAGGACGACCTGCTGGCGCTGAACACTACGGATGCTCTGAACATGACCGCGGACGGCATGGCAGCCAACTTCACGGAGGGACCGGCCGTCCCCGTCAAGCTGGTCGGCGGAAAAGACGAAATGGAGGGCCGCCTCATGGTAAGAGTCGTGGGGGGGGGGCTGAGTTTTTCATTTCCCTTTAGGCAGAGTGACTCAGGTGCATGATGGATAGATATATGAATTGAGTCCAAGAATGTTTTTAGAAATAGGTACATCCTTATTTATACAGTATAAAGAACGAATTACTAGTCTACGAAAATCTTGTAATATAAAACGCCCATTAAGTAACAATCTCTACAAAAACCTGGGGAAAATCTGAAGCAGATTTCCCCCACCCTATTGTTTTTCGTAACCATCAAGAAAAACAAATTAAAATCATGAATCAATAAGGACACTAGACACTTAGTCAGTTACCTTACAAATCTACGCAAATGACCGTCCGGCGTAACATTTGACAGGTGTACATCGGCACGGAGTGGGGCACGGTGTGCAACCACGGCTGGAAGGAGGAGATGGCGGCCGTGGCGTGCCAGCAGATGGGCTACGTCTTGAATCCTGAGGACTGGTTCATTGAGTACGGTTCTATGCCGCCAGAGGGACAGGATGCTAGGATTCTGCTCAGGTGAGTAATATAATTATCTTTCAGTTTTTGGATTCATCATTGGCGCAGTGCAAAATTTGTGGAAATTAAAAGAAATATGGATGGCATTATCTAACCGTCACCGAATGCCCGGACAAATATATACTGTAATTTAATAATGCTGATAGGAGTAATAGTGATAATAATAATAATAACGATGATGATGATAATGATACTGATAGTACTAAACCCAATGAGATTCCATTCCATGCGACTGAAATTAACTCCCCCCCCCCCCCCCCGCAGCAACTTGCAGTGCGACGAGTTCGACACCGACCTGACGCGTTGCAAGAGCGACAATTTCTGGGAGCTGGAGAACTCGTGCTCGCATGCAGAGGACGTGGGCATCCGCTGCTACCCGCCTACTTGGTCGGGCATCCGGCTGGGCATGACTGCGCACGAGAGCCACATGAAGGGCGTGGTCATTGAGAAGGCCGGGCTGTTGGACTACACGACGCGCTCCTTCAAGCCGGGTGAGGAAGCGAGCCGTTGGTCGTTCGTGGGGGGGGGGGGGGGAGTTGCGTTGATTCCCAGTAAGGTTTGGGTGGGGGTTTTATACGGATCGTTTATTTGAGTTTTTTTATTACTTATTTTACTTTGGTGATGGAAGAAAATTGAGTTCATATTTATCACGCCTCTTGATATCACGTCCTCCAGTATCTCAGATCAAAAGTTAAGTTAAAAGATATTTACAAAAGCTAGATTTAATTAACAACATTTTCTAAACCAAAAGTGAAGCTAGAACTTCATCAAACAGTTCAAACTTAAAACACATTCCCACCAGTTAGAATTCAAGAGCTATTCCCAACCACTCGCTAACCCCGAGCGCCTCCTGCCCTGTGTCCGCAGCCCTGCAAATCGACTTCCACCACCACGTCATCCAAGAGATCGAGGTCCGCGACAACTCCCAGGACGGAATCGGCGTCATCTACAGCAACCAGTACGCTATCGCCAACCCGGAGGCGCGAGTGTTCAAGGGGTGTACTTTCGCGAGGAACAAGCGCCATGGCATCAGCATGAGGCAGCTGGGGGTCAACATCACAGGTGGGATTGGGGGTGGCGCTGGTGCTGAGGGATTCTCTCTCTCTCTCTCTCTCTCTCTCTCTCTCTCTCTCTCTCTCTCTCTCTCTCTCTCTCTCTCTCTCTCTCTCTCTCTCTCTCTCTCTCTCTCTCTCTCTCTCTCTCTCCCTCTCCCTCTCTCCCTCTCTCCCTCTCTCCCTCTCTCCCTCTCTCTCTCTCTCTCTCTCTCTCTCTCTCTCTCTCTCTCTCTCTCTCTCTCTCTCTCTCTCTCTCTCTCTATCTATCTATCTATCTATCTCTCTCTCTTTCTCTCTCTCTTTCTCTCTCTCACTCTAGTAAAGTAGATTTTATTGATAATTATCACTTAATCTTTATTAAGTACGTGAAACGAAAGCATAATATTGAAGTGCAAATCTTTGTTTTAAAATGTCAGATAACCATTTCTCGTAGTCATTTATTCAACATTAGTCTGTATAAATTGCTATTTTATCTTTGCAGGATCTTTCTTAAAAGAAAATTCAGGTTCGGGCCTTCATTTCAACCCATTCCTGACCCGAATTGAACAGAGAGAGTTGACCGGATGGATGAAACTGAAGGAAGAGAATTACATTAAAATTCCAGGTGTGTTTTGCATCATTATGTCTTTTCAAAACTTATTTATGTGTTTATTGTTGGTAGAAGGGATTCCGTTCTTATTTTACTTGTTTCGTCGAAATTATACTGGGTATCTGACTATAATGACATTGATATTCTAGGTATATTTCTTTAATGATTATATACGCAATTTGAACCATTTCTGCTTTTTGTTATCATCAAAATAAACACGAATACAATTTTTCCACTTGCTCGAAACAAAATCATCATTTTATTTAGAATCTTAACACGATTCCATATACGATAAGACCTACTTACTCTCAACGACTGTCGCAGATAACCCATCGCCGATTGTCCTGACGAGCAACAACCCGAAGGTGCTGATCACGCAGGAGCTGAGGGGGAGGCAGGCGTCGGTCACCCTCCACGTGTCTGTGGGTTGAATTCTTGGTGTTTGTTTGTGTTTTATTCCGTGGTATTTTTGGCTTTTGGTTCCCGTTTTGTTTAAGGGCCAAGAAGATGGATTTCGTAAGGTTTCTTTCAGTAGGTTTGGTCACATATATATAATTTTATCATTAGTATCACTAATTTTTGTGATTTTAGAGTTATTTATTGGAAAAAAAGGTCTGATGTAGATTATAATAGATTTTATCATGTAAACATTTTGTCGAGTACTATGCATGCAATCCATGCAATATTTGTAGAAAAGTCAACAATTTATTTTTTTTTCACTTCCAGACGCAGCATTCCAATGTGATCGGAATTCAAGTACTCAATCCTATTGTACCCGAAAGCACCGAACAAATTGTGATTTACGACTATCAGGAGATCATTGAGAGTGAGGTAAATTATCCTCTCTTTTTGTATATTGAAATGGACTTGAAATTTATATTGGTAGAATAAACAGGTGTCTATAAATATCTATATATACCACGGTGTATATCATTATGAATAAAAAAGGACACATTTTTAAAAAGAATTCTTACGAATAACATAGTAGACGTAACCCATGACCTTTGACCTGGGAATAACCTCGCCATTCATGCAGGATATTGCCCGGTGGGACGTCCGCGGGGACCTGGTGGCCTTCCCGACGACCTCGGGGAGTTACGCCATCACCCTCCAGTACGCCTCGGGCCCCTTCGCGCTCGGTGACGTCATCATCATGCTCACGGCCGTCGATCGTAAGCATTAGGGCCATAGTTTCCTTTCCGGCTCTGTCGCTGGCTCTCTGGCTGTGTGTGTGTGTGTGTGTGTGTGTGTGTGTGTGTGTGTGTGTGTGTGTGTGTGTGTGTGTGTGTGTGTGTGTGTGTGTGTGTGTGTGTGTGTGTGTGTGTGTGTGTGTGTGTGTGCGTGTGTATGTGTATGTGTATGAGTTTCCTTCCCTCCATCCCTCTCCCCTCCTCTACCCCCCCCCCCTTTCATAATCTCATTCTCAGCCGACATACTCTGCCTCCCCTTCCTCCTCCTCTAATACTAATTCCTCTCTCAGGCAAAGACATCGCCCAAGCTGGAGATCTTCGCAACTTCCGGTCCAAATGGCCGATGGTGTACATTGAAGATTCGCAGATACGTAATAATGACATCGGAATATCCACCTTGCATTATAACAGGTAATTTATGACGTCATTTACTATTCTGTATATCATCCGTATACGATCTATACACGGTATTCCATTATCTGGTATCAAGTGTGTGAAAATATTCATAATTCGAGTCCTTATTGCAACAGATGCAATTCATGATTCGAAGTACTATGACCTCTCTTTTTTCCAAGGTATCTGACCGACGACGAGGACCACTTGCTTCGGTCCGCAAACGAGAGCATTCTGGTCATGAACTCCCAAATCATCGACAACAAGAACCAGGCCGTGTACACCCTGTCCCCCTTCAGAGCGAGGATGGACAATGATGACATCGGCGAAATCACGTTCATGTTTAACAGCACCACGATCTCAGGGAACGGAAGGGGCATCGATCAGTACAGCTGGTAAGGAGGATTAAAAAAATGATTTGGCTGCTGGATGTGTGTGTGTGTGTGTGTGTGTGTGTGTGTGTGTGTGTGTGTGTGTGTGTGTGTGTGTGTGTGTGTGTGTGTGTGTGTGTGTGTGTGTGTGTGTGTGTGTGTGCGTGTTTTGTTGATTTTTATCTGGGGTAGTAAGTATTAAGATCACATAACTAATTACCTAGAAAATTATTTGATTATGAAATTATGTTGTTTTCAAAACGCGTTACCCAAATTTACAAACTGCCTCCGATGGATTCAGAGAGATTTTCTTCCTTTCCCAAGGGATGTTCGCGAATCCAACAACCTCTTCAACTGGATTCTTGAGGGCGTCGTCATGCAGAACAACGGCGGCGGCGGCGTCAACCTCGTGCTGCCCTACGTGTGGCAGTACAGCGAAAACTTTACGCATACCGTCTACGTCAACGCATCGACGTTCGTGAACAACGCTCAATTTGGGTTCCAGGTGGATGGCCACTTCGCTCGCATCAACGTGACTTACTCGAAGTTTGAACAGAATACCTGCTATAAAGGAGTTATGTCCCTGAAGGGCATGGAGAAGGAGCTGTTCATTCACGACAATGAAATCATGTCCAACATCGGTTCTTACGTGGTGGAGTTCGACACGGATAGCCAGAGCGGTATTCTTGGCGTCGTCAGTGCCTACTTTGAATACAACAGAGTGCAAGGGAACAGGCACATGACCCAGCTGAGGAGCAGCACATCCCGCGCATACCAGCCGGCAAGTTACACTATAGCTGTTCGAGGATTGCAGAAAATCAACATCACGCACAATCTGTTCGGCTCCAACGAGATGGACTACGAGCTGCTGGCAGGGCTGTACACGAGCAGAATCGACAACTACCTCAACGTGGAGGCCAACTGGTGGGGTTCGCGAGACCCGGACGTGATTCGCGAGAGGATCTTCGACTTCGACGACTGGAACAATTTCGCCCTTGCGGACTATCTGCCGTACCTCATCGAAGACAGCCTCTCGGCGCCTGTGTCGTCTGTGGGGGGAGCGGGAACCGACAGGAACGTGATGGACCTGAATTCTCTAGGAGGGCGCCTTATGCAGGACCTGAGGTTACCAAGACGCTCGCAGCCGTACGTCGTGAAATCCGATCTCACCGTGATGCCCGGAGTGACCCTGGTGATCGAACCCGGGGCCACGCTCGAGTTCTTCCCGAGCGTTGGCATTCTTGTGCTGGGCCGCCTGGAAGCCGTCGGGAGGCGGGACGACCGCATCATCATGAGGCCCATCGACACGTCCACCGCCACGCATTACCGCGTCGGTCGGCAGACGAGGTCGTCTCTGGAGGCTGTAAGGCTGTGCGTGGAAGGGCAGTGTGAAGGAAGACGGTGAGTCAGAACAGTTATACTATAGATTCAGGGCATTGCTTCTCACGTTAAAATATGTACAATATTTGTTAAGTTAACTTTTTATTATACTTATGATTGTATTTCTTATTTTAACAGAGATGGATTCCTTGACATATTCAATGGAACCACTAAGCAGTGGGTTCCTATCTGCGACGATCGTTTCACCGAGCGAAATGCCGAAGTCGTGTGTCATCAGCTGGGTTATAATAAAGTCAACATTTTCTATAGTCGCAACAAACGAACGGAAATGTTTCCCAGCGCTCTTATCCGCATCAGGTCATGGCCAGACCCAATCCAGTGTGATGGTAAGAAACCATTTTAATAAATGGAATAAGTAATATAGCATCGATGAATGTAGCTTTAGTATAGATAGGCAATAATCTACATGTACAAAATTCATTTCTGTTTCCTAGGCTCTGAGTCGAGACTGGACGAGTGTCCGCTTCGGATGAATGGCCAGATATACGACCACAGCTACGAATGTGCCTGGAATGGCGACTTCGTCTACGTTTCGTGCGGGGAACATAATTTGGAGAATGATCTTCAGGAATATTGGGGCGGTATCAGGTAAAAGAACGCCACGAAAAAGTGGGCCAATATTTCTGTTTCTTTTACAAAAATAACAAGGAAAATACAAGTAACAAAATTGGTACATTGTTATCACTGCCGTATTTTTTTTCCTTTCAGATTCTCAGTGCCGAATTTCGAGCACATGGATGTGTACCACAGATTGCACCACCAGCACGACCCGGGCAACATCCACACTCACCCCTACATCCACGGCAAGTCTGAAGTCAGCATAAACCCCTCTGTCATGGAGTGGGTGGACATCATCGGCGCAGGAATCCTACACAATGACAAGTCGCCAGCCGTCATGTCTTTCCACGATACGCCTTCTCTGCGCGGAGTGACGGTCAGGAACTCTGCTTATGATGGCGTCTCCATTGTCTCGGCAACGAAGGGATTCGAAATGCTTTATAACAAGTGAGCCATGAGGGTCTCGATCATGTTTGCTCTAAGGAAAAACGCTAATCATATTTCCTGAAGAGTTTGCTAATGGTAGTACTGTCGAAATGAGTACACGCACTTCCATTCTTTTTCAATTTAAACCAATTAGATATTATACTTATTCACAAAGAAAGCTAACTAGAGTCAAGCAGAAAACTAACCACACCACCTCTCGCGCACGCAGATTCGTAAATAACCTGGGCGTGGGCATCTCGCTCCTGGGCTTGACAGGGGAGACCCGCGAGACCGAGGAATCCTCCTTCTTCCCGGTGGCCAAAGTGCGCCTCCCGTACCACATGTTCGGAATGGTGGACATGTGCGACTCCACCAAGGAACTCATGATCGAAGAGAGGATCCTGCTGTATTACAAGTACGATAACAGGCCCGTGGACTGCGTGAAGATATTCTCGTCCGTGTTCAACGTGAAGAATTTCGGTTTCAGGTAAAGATGGGTATAGGTGTGCCCGTAATGATTTTGTAAGAGGGGCGATTCGTCTGAAATATGGGAAAGGTATAGAGGCAGAAAAATCCAAATTGCACATAGTGTTCTTTTCGAATAAGCCCTCTCAGGGATGGTCGTGTGTGTGTGTGTGTGTGTGTGTGTGTGTGTGTGTGTGTGTGTGTGTGTGTGTGTGTGTGTGTGTGTGTGTGTGTGTGTGTGTGTGTGTGTGTGTGTGTGCATCGGCTCGCCTGTTTATTCTAAGCAACATTTATGTGTAGAACGCGATGAAATAACATTTTCCTTTACCGCCCGCCTTACTCTAAGAGTCTCTGCGTTTCCTTCAAAGGCTCCTGCAGTACAACTCCTACAACTCCACCATGGATCCTATGATGCCGGATCGCATTGTCCTCTATGATGGCGATATCTACAACTACACGACGGATGTCTTCGCCGAAATCCACATGAACAGCAACAACCTGATGAAGTTCTTTAAGACGGAGGGAACGAGCATCTCCGTCGAACTTCATGCTACGGGAGCCTCAGGGGATCTGGGATTCGTGGCTGAAGTGGTGACGCTTCCCATCTCTAATCTGGGAATCAGTATGTGTCACAACATCGTTTTAATATAATTATGGGAATCGGCATATTCTGTATATCTATATATACTTTTTTTTATCCTATTCTGGACATGTTTCTACTAGTTAGTTGATGCTCTGTCTCTCGCTTTGTTTAGCTAATTTAAAGCACATTTATACTTTGTTCTTGGGTTCTTTTTGTAAATCAGGTTTATACATTATATGAAATGGTAAATTGATGCCCTTTTACATCGACAGACCGTAACATCCTCCACAACATGACATACAACGAATACTATAACAATGGCGAGGGCGCTATCTTCGCGGCCACAGCTGGTGAGGTGAATCCTTGGCTGTGTTTCTCGTACAGCCGTATAGAAAATAATGGTAAGCAATTGTATGGAAACTTCACCACCACGAGAGCAGCTATCCACCTCGACCTACAGAACATGCAAGATGTCTACATCAAGGTGCGTTTTACGAACTTTTAACAGTGAATATTTGAGCCGCATGATGAGCGTCTCTTTTACATCGGGTCAGAGTAAAAGAAACAATTCATTCTATCATTTCTACGGTCCGTTTCAGAATAACTTGATACGGAACAACACAGGAGGTGCGTACATCTTAGCAGGGTCCATGGGAGCAGCAACAAAACTGCAAGCCAACATCACCAACAACCTGTTCGAGGCCACACAGCACTGGCCGGCCCTCTACGTCGCCTCCCGGGAGAACTCTGCGTACCAGCACGCCCTCATTGCCTATAATGACTTCAGTTGGTCCGATAGTCCTTACCACGATGTCGTTACTTTGGCTCAGGTGACTGCAGGATATTTCGTATGTATTTTGGTGATAAATGTAGTGAAGAAAATATATCTTGTAGTAATAGAATTTGCGGTGGAGATACAGAGAGGTAGTTCGAGGAATCATCATCAGTTTCCATACTCGGAGAAAGCGATGGATGCCATGTACTTCCCACCTCAACCTACAACTAAGGACAGAACAGAACAAGGAAACCGTAGAGAATGAATCTAAAGGAAAATTTAGATCTTCACAAGCCTTTAAATTCAACAAACAACGTAAAGTCAGCAGATAACAGTTAAGACACCCATACTAACTCCATGTTTATTTCAGGTTGTCTCCATCTTCACCCACAATTACGTCCACAGCAACCTTGGAAGACACATCTTGGACATTTATGGATTCCAGAAGGTTCGCCTGCCAGTCTACCAAACCACCTCGCATAACAGTTTTGCCAAGTATGTTCTCTTTTGGAATTCCTGGGTTTATGTTATCGTTAGTATTACTTTCATCGTCTTCATTATTCTTATCATTATCATCATATCATTACTGATATTATTATTATCACTCTCATTATCATTATTGTTGTTGTTCATTATTATTATAATTATAATTATGATTATCAATATTATTATTATTATTATTATTAATATTATTATCATTATTATTATTATCATTATCATTATTATTATTCATTATTATTATCTTCATCACTATTATTATTATTATTATCATTATCATTATTATTATCATTATCATTATTATTATTATTATTATTATTATTATTATTATTATTATTATTATTATCATTATTGTTGTTGTTATTATTATTATTATTATTATAATTATTATTATTATTATTATTATTATTATTATTATTATTATCATTATTATTATTAACATTATCATTATTATTATTCATTATTATTATATTCATCACTATTATTATTATCATTATCATTATTATTATTATTATTATTATTATTATTATTATTATTATTATTATTATTATTATTATTATTATTATTATTATTATTATTATTATCATTATTGTTGTTGTTGTTATTATTATTAATATTATTATTATTATTATTATTATTATTATTATTATTATTGTTATTATTGTTATTGTTATTATTATTATTATTATTATTATTATTATTATTATTATTATTATTATTATTGTTATTGTTATTGTTATTATTATTATTGCTGTTGTTGCTGTTTTTGTTGTTATTATTAGTATTAGTATTTTTAGTATTATGCAAAATTAAGGTACTACAAACGGTAATTATAAATACATGATTGCTAATACTCTTAAACGCAAATATAATTGTTAATCTATCTTGTTACTGAAAATGAACTAAAATCAATTATTATATTTACAGGAACATCGCTGTTGACCCAACTTACCAGGGTACTGTTATAGCTGGGAGCGCAGGCCAGCAGTTTGTGGAGAACGTTTTCTATAATTTGGATAACGCTTATGAGGTTGTTGCTGTAAATGAATCCGTGTAAGTATGATTTCATTACAAAATGAACTTCACACAGATTTCAGATAAAACTGTGCTCTTATAGTATGTTTCTTTTCTTTTTTTTTTTTTGAAGAGATAAAATTGAATTCTTGTTTATTATCGTTAATATTGTTATTGTCCTTGCAGTCATTTTTTTTTATAATGTTTTACGTATATTTTTTGTTTTACTCTTATTATCATGATTGGAACATGTGCATTTGGTAGTGTGTTGTCATATTTTTTCCAGCTATTTCTGGGGAAAAATTAAATATGTAGTTTATCGTCCATTTAAATTCCTGTCTAATCACACACCTTTATGCACCTCGCACGCCTCCCTCTCAACCCACGCACAGGTCTGGACTCCGTAGGTAAGGTTATGAAGTCCACGGCAGGTGGAGTAAAAAGATATTGCATGATGGGGTTATTTTCCCTTTTTCTGTATGGTATGAGGCAGCCTTTCACTGATATTTGAGTTTGTCTTTTGGTATTCCCTTTTCAGGAGTCATATTGCTTTTAGCCGTTATGCGTGTGTAAGTTTCATGTACCACAGCACTCCATGGATACAGAGGAAAAGTTTACTTGTTAATGCTAGGAATATTATTGTGTTTTCATGATTGTTTTATGCATTTGATTATGGTTGACACATCATTAAACTCTTTATTATATATATATATATATATATAGTTTTGCACCAGTTTTGAAGTGGATATTTTCAATAAAGTCATTTAGTGCTGTGTCAGTCATGATTTCACTGCTTTGACATCTTATTACTTTGACAAGACAGACATCTTTGAGTTGTCACAAATGAAATGGTAATAGAAATCAGCATCAGTAAGTCAGTAAGCTCCCATTTACTTTGCTCTGTGGTTAAAGCATTATAAAACTGAAAAAAAAGCAACTCTACCTGTTCCCCTAACTGTATATGGCAACAGTAAGCCTGTAGTTTGTTACACTAACCTCCAAGCTTTGCTTCTTCTACTGTATCTTTCTAACTTGTAAAACATATCAAAGATGTTACCAGGTACAGTGCTACACAAATGTATTTGGATATATACATTACATACCTTATGTTCTCCAAGTAGTTACAGAATCACTGCACTGTCCGAGACTGCAGGAAAGCCTCCTCTTTTGCATGGGTTGATTCCATACCATTGTATTACTTAGCTTTATATGACTGCATGTACATATTCTTAAGCACACCTACTGCATGCTTGCTTGTGGATTGCAGACGCTGCAACTCCTCTACAGAATGTTCAGAAATGGACGTCTACATGGAATCGGGTCAGGAGAGGTCAGTAGCTTGATGAATTGACAGAGGATTCTTCTGTGGTGGTAACAACCATGAAACTTATTTTGTCCTTACAGTAGAATAATCAAATAATCCCTGAGGAGTAGTTTGCCTTGTAACATTGATTTAATGTTTATATAAACAAGTGTAAGTTGTGTCTGTATTCTGAGTATTTCTTATTTACTGAAAATATTTGGATTTTTCATATAAGAATCAGAGAGATATATAGCATATAAGAAGTTTTATCAAATGATCTCCAACCCTACTCTGTTTTTGCATTAACTACCAGAAGCATGTTGAATTGTTTCCTTATTGCACTTTTGATGAAATGGTGGCACAGATATGTTAGTTGGCCATGGATCATGTTAAGTTAAACTCCCTTAGTTGTTCCTTAGTCATTTGATATTGTTATTGAATTTACTGATCTTATCTCCCTAAATCTTTATCACTTATAGCACTGTGATGCATACCAATAATAGTACTCTTAGTATATTCCCTTTAAAGATTTTATAATCACAGAGAAGCAGACTCATTTTTTCTCATACTTTTACCCCTTTTACTGAGACCTACACAATGCCTTTTCCAGATCTGATGTGTGGAAGACACCTATTGATGCTCGCAACAACTGGTGGGGCTTCAACACTTCTGTGGCTGTGTCTGGCCGTATCCATGATAAACTGGATGATGAAACACTGCTGAGTGTTGATTATAGGTACATTAATATTTACTGTTATTGAAGCAAGTTTTTTTTTTTACTGAAAAAGAAATGAGAGGTTATAGTTATTGTTGTACTCAGTATCTATTATTAATATTATTTCTTTTTTATTAATTTGTTCCTTTTTGCTCAAAACAGCCAGTGGAAGTTGAACAACTACACGCTGCTTCAAGGATGTGAGCCAGGCTATTCCTCAGTGGGTGATGCATGTTATTTGTATGTGGGGTCTCCAGTTACCTATGAAGAAGCTAAAGCGTTCTGCAAAAAGGACAATGCATCCCTGCCTTTCCTACAGAAGTGGTATTGGGAAGTACAGGTAATGGAAAGTTACTGTAGCTCTTTTGTTCATATCTAGATAAAGAAAATTGTTTTGATAAAGAAAAAAAAAAAAATATATATATATCCAGCATTAATGTGTGTGTGTGTGTGTGTGTGTGTGTGTGTGTGTGTGTGTGTGTGTGTGTGTGTGTGTGTGTGTGTGTGTGTGTGTGTGTGTATGTGTGTGTGTGTGTGTGTGTGTGTGTGTGTGTGTGTGTGTGTGTGTGTGTGTGTACGTGTACGTGTACGTGTACACACACACACACACACACACACATATATATATATATATGTATGTATATGTATATGTATATGTATGTATATATATGTATATGTATGCATATGTATGCATATGCATATATATGCATATGTATGCATATGTATGTATATGTATGTATATGTATATGTATATGTATATGTATATGTATATGTAAGTATATGTATATGTAAGTATATGTATATGTAAGTATATGTATATGTAAGTATATGTATATGTATATGTATATGTATATGTATATGTATATATATGTATATATATGTATATATATGTATATATGTATATATGTATATATGTATATATGTATATATGTATATATGTATATATATATATATATATATATATATATATATATATATATATATATATATATATATATATATATATTGTATTTGTATAGATAGATAGATAGATATTTGAAAAGAAGGTTGTTTAAGGTCAGATTGACACATTTTCCCCTCATAATTCATGTGGTAGTAAAGCCATCTATCCTTTAGAAGTGTGTATGTCTAATTAACCTGCATTGCACTAGATACATTTTTATGTGTTTATTGACAGTACTGGATCCTATCTCAGCAACCTGAGTATCTTTGGGAATATGACATGGTTTGGGTTCAGCATCTTGATGTGGTCAGTGGATGCGCAGCTTTTGTCTACAGACAAGTTCGTTCAGTTGACTGTAGTCTAAACCTTCCCTTTATCTGTGAATCTGGTAAGTGATTTTTCTTTATATGATAACTGTGAATAGAGGTGGTGTAAAATATGTTGCTTAATAATTGTCTAAATTAGATGTTGGCTAGTTATCCAGAACATAAACTAAATCAACAGCTTAACCTCACACTTCTTCTACAGATCCTGATGAAACAATTGACAAGTTTGCTTGGGCATC